GTCCAACCACAAACATCAACTTGCTATCGGCATTCTTCTCAGAGCGAGCCTCTGAGTAAAACCAAAACACAGAGCTCTTCTAGCTGCTAAAAAAGAAGAGCTAACACTGTCCCAGCTAAAACTAGGACACTGTACGACCGTCATGAACTCAGGGAAATGCGCATGAGAGAATCTGTGTCCTAGTGTCATACTGTATGTTGATTAAAACTTGTTGACTGTCTGCAGCGGAACGGGAGATTGTGAGAGATGTCAAGGAGAAGCTTTGTTATGTGGCTTTGGATTTTGAAAATGAGATGGCAACTGCTGCTTCCTCCTCCTCTCTTGAAAAGAGCTATGAGCTTCCTGATGGACAAGTCATCACCATTGGAAATGAACGATTCCGATGCCCAGAAACTCTCTTCCAGCCATCCTTCATAGGTGGGACAGGACTTTTCTTTCTAGGGACTTGTCAAAACAATGAAAAGAAGAATTTCTTAGGAAGTATAGACAACCTTCAGCTGTAGGAACTGAGGTATTTATCCTCAAATGTCCTTAGAAACATGCAGCTTCTATTGACTTTATAAATTCTTTAGAAGCTATGGACACTGCTGCTATCGCTGCTGGACAAAAAGATGCCTCTCAGTTTAGAAATACCTGAATCCTAAGATAGTTTCAATCTCTTATAAATAGAGTAGAGTTTCTAAGATGATGTTTTAGAGTACTGTCAGAAGATCATGCTTTTTATCTTGACTAGCTGATACATAACTGCACAGTGCTGCTTATGTGAGTTTTTTATCTAGATGCTACTTCCATTTACCATTTGTTATATTAATCTGTAATTTAATCATACAGAATCAAATTGTACATTATTTTCCAGTAGTTTTATCTGCAGTGTTAAAATTCCCATTCTATCCAGTGGATGACTGACATTTTACTTAACTCATGCTGCCCTCACAAATTTCTCACTTTCCACTAAAATTCTGCTCTTGAGGACTGAGGAAAATGGCTGCAGGCAGTTTGGCATGATTTCTGTTAAACTAAATGGTGAAGCCAGCTGCGTTTGTGTGTAGAAAGGAAACCATTCAAGCATTAATATAGCTCCAAGTTCTGTATTTGAACATCAGCAGGAGAAATTCTCTTTAGTAGACAGATGGATTCGGCTGCCAGAAATATGTCAGAGATCAGAGTTGGTGCTCAACTGTGGTCAATATCATAAATGTAGCAATGGAAATCAGGATTTCTTGTCTCACAGATCTTTGTCAAAATGTGCATGTTAAGCTAGTTAAAAAGTCTGGTACTTACGGTCCGGAGAATACAGTTTGAACTTTATCAGTCTATTCCTTTTCTTTAGCAAAAAATAGTACCAGAAGTGAACTTCATTGTACTAGCATTCAGCTTAAAGCAGCACCTCAAAAGCAAGGTAGCTCACTGAAATGCCATTTGGGCTTCTACTTCTAGCTAGCTGCATCATAAAAGGTTATAAAAATAGCAAACTGTTGCAGTAATGCCTCATTTTAAATTTTTCCTTAAATGTTTGGTGTTTGGGGTTTTTTTGTGTTTTGTTTTTGTTTTTTTTTTTAACTTGAGGAAGTAGAAAACTTAGTATGAAATGATAATGGGGATCTTTCTTCCTCACAAGTGTATTTTGCTTGTATAATCACTATGCTGAGATTACAAAGTAGGTGAGGAGCATGTTCTATCTTTCTTCTTCCTCTCCTAAGCATCACACAGCTTTTTTTTTTTTTTTTCTGGAGTTTTCTTAGGGGAAACAGCTTGGACTGGTGAGCCTTCGTTTCATTTTAACAGTAAGAAGGAGACAAAGAGAAATAACATATTGAAACTTCTTTCCACTCAGGGATGGAATCCGCAGGTATCCACGAAACCACTTACAACAGCATCATGAAATGTGACATTGACATCAGTAAGGATCTCTATGCTAATAATGTCCTCTCCGGAGGAACCACGATGTATCCTGGGATTGGCGATCGTATGCAGAAAGAGATTACAGTTTTGGCTCCAAGTACTATGAAGATTAAGGTAATTTTGAACACCTGTGCTTATAATGAACGAAGCTTTTGTTGGGAAGTTAGATCTTATAAACAAATAAAAATGTCCATAGGAGAATGTCCAGGTCTTGCATCCCAGTCTTGATGTTAGGAGAGCCTGGACAGCCTGCTTAATTAGTATCTCTTTTCCTCTTACCAACCAAAGCAGGATTAAAAGAGAGATTTGAGAGGTATTGGAATAAAAATAGTTGCTGAAGCCATGAGAGTTGATGAGGTAATTTTGAGATGATGCAAAACAACAGTTAAGGAAGAGAGTCCTGTGGGATTCCCAGTGAAACAGGGCTGTGAGGGAGAAAAGGGCTACTTGAAAGATACTGCAGAAATAACAAGACAGGTAGGGATGAACCTAGGGAAGATGGAGCTGTAAATACTAAAGGGGGCATGAACAGCTTGAAAAGACACGAGGAACATTATAGGCTTCAAGGCATAGCTCTCAGTGAAAGGAGTTGGTGAAAAGAGTGAAAGAATAAATCCAAAATCCAAGCAATATGCAAAGTCTGCAGCTCGTTAGCTATTTGAAAGGACCCTTTCGGCTTGTGCTTAAGACAATGCATAGTGAAATAGAGAAGCCCTTTGTATCAGGCAGCAGATGGCATGCTCAACGGACATGACACGGAGTGGCAGGACTGGAAACAGGATCATGCAGAAGCAGGGGTACATCCAGGGTACTTACAATCCAGCGTCTAAGATGGGAATCGGCAGGAGGTCTTCTAACTACATGTAGTGCTTAGCTAGATACACAATGCCAGTGTATCTCAATGTTTTGGGTTTGTTGTGTGGGTTTTCTGTTTGTTTTCTTTGTTGTTTTTTTTTCCATAAAAGAATTTCTTTATCCTTAAAAAAATGCTCAGACCATTCTGTGTAGTGTTGTCCCAGTGGTCTTTATTTAGAACCCAACTAGGTTAATGTTTCAAAACTTGCATTTTCTTTCATATGTGCTTTTAATTTTTTAGGAGCTCTGTTACTAAAAATAGTAACAGATACGGGCCATCTGCAGATATCTCATTGGCTGCCATATTTGTCTGCTCATAGTAACGTTATAGTGTCTCTATCAATTTGAGTTGGAAGACAAAACATGGCAGCCTTTCTACCTCTTAGGTGCTTTACTTCCTTGGAGTTGTGCTTTTATGATGAAAAGACTTTCTCTATCCATAGAGATGTTTACCGTGTTACCTGCTTGTCACTTTATTTACAACAGATTGCACTTCTCTTCTAGATGATTGCACCACCAGAACGTAAATACTCTGTCTGGATTGGGGGTTCAATATTGGCATCTCTGTCCACTTTTCAGCAAATGTGGATCAGTAAAGATGAATATGAGGAAGCTGGCCCCTCTATTGTCCATCGCAAGTGCTTTTGAACACTTCTATCATGTACTGTCAGCGATAAGTAGTGCTGTTTCTCTACACATCACCTGCCCTCATTCACCCCTGAGGGTGGTTTGGCTTTCTTCCACAACACACAAATAACAGGCTGTGTGGATGTCATACGAATTAGCAAATTCTAATTTTTGATGCTAAAACAAGACTAATATTTCAGTGATGGGGGTTTTCCAAGACTAATAACAGTAGTTATACTCTACATTTTTGTAAGTAGAGTGCTGTAAGTGTTGTGCTGCCATTTCTAAGTGTTGTGCTGCCGTCCAGGAGGTGCCACACATCTGCGCTGTGTGTCTTTGCTAATCGATGGTAAGTCTGAAGTACACACATCAGTGATTCTTTCAAACTCAAACACAAGGCAAGATTTAGGTACCAGAGGAGGTTTCTTTTATGCAGTGAAGTGGTACACAGGATTTTTCTAAGGGGGCTTATTTTACTCAGGATACAGCGGATTAATGTGGGTACTGATGTGCACATGGACACCGATTCTTTCAGTACAGCTTGTATGGGATGTCTTTCCTTGGTATCCTGCAATTGTTTGGCAGGAGACCTTTGTCTCCCTGTGATCACCACTTCCCATCAGTAAGCAGCTTCAGCAGGTGACAGTACTTCTAAACTTACAAGTAACAGGTTAATTTATTTTCTGTTATTGCTGTCTTCATCTCTTTTCCTAAGCAGTTAGGAAACTGATGTTTCATTTACTTTCGCTATGTAAGTGCTATGCTAAGCTAATGATTACAGAGTAAATAATAGCCTTTTGAATATGTTATTGAAATACTCTGGGTTTAATGGATCAATAAAAGTGTAATTATCCCTGTAAGGCTGCTGTGGCTTACATTAATTTCATAGTGACTAGTTTATTTGTTAAAGATAAAATAATAATTAGTAATTTATATTTTAATCTTATTACAAGAAAGGTTTCATTCCCTCTGAGTTTTCTAGTGAAGCAATTTAAAAATGAAAATGGAGTTGTTTCACAGTTTCTATTTAAAAAAAAAAGTCTTCCTGGATGACAAATCTTCATAATATTCTGTATGAAGATTAGAGTCAACTATGAAGATTTTACTGTTTCAGATACCAGGCAAATGTGTTCTATGATTCTGTAAGCCGTAGATTTTGAACTGATATGATGTCAAATTCGATTTAATCAAACCTGTCAAGTTCTTGACAGTAAACACAATATTCTCTTTCCAAAGATGGGGAAAAGATGTGAGTTGGATTTACAGTCTTGTGAAAATGCATCTAGGGACTGTTTCAAGGAATCTTTTTACTACTGCAAGTTCTAGCTCAGGGTGATCTTATTTCCTTATGCAAATGATCTCTTAATGGTGAAAGCTGAAAGATGTGTAAAGGAAGGATTCTTCAAAGGTCTGCTGTAGCTAGCACTACCCAATAAGTAAGAGATTGATTTTTATCTTCATTCAGACTTTTGAACAGCAGTCAGTTCAAAATTGCCTGTGTCTGTGTCCTCTCAAGCAAATGGAAATCATTGCAAATTTCTCACCTCTGAATGAATTTTACTTTATTATCTTGGTCTCAGCTTATATGAGCTCATTGCTTAAGTTGATAATAAATCACCTTACATTTCAGAACAGTGCTGTTACCTGGTCTTATCGCCTGCCTAAGCAGCATAACTTACATTTTAATCTTGACCTCTTGTAGGTGTGATGTTCAAGAGCGTAAACCTAGGTACTTGGATCTCTGGAACTGAGTTACCTTTGCAGTCCTCTGTAGTATCAAAGCAAAATTCCATTCAGTTTGCTAATAATCTACTTGTTCTTGTTTCAATATTAAAAATGAAGGATCTTCTTTGTATTTTCTATCATTTTTCTTAATATATCCTTTCAGTATGTACCTATAGCTTGTTAATCAGGGGGGAAAAAAAAAAGAAATATATTGAGAAATGTGTAATTTTTTTGTAAGTGGCGAGGGAGGTACACATTTACAGCATTTTCACATACCTGAAAGAGTTCTTTGGGCTTTTCTTCTTCCCTCCCTTTCTCAGGTCTCCTTCTCTCATTCTCCACAACAAAATTCTCTTCAGTCCTTGGTTGGCGTCTCTAGCTCCCGGCACAGCTGGGGCTGAGATGTGAGCTCTCAATGGTTAGAATATGAATCCTCATCCTGCAGCTGACTCCTTTTTCAGTGTGGAAGAGCACGATTATACTCTGAATACCTCCCTAACAATCTGCATGTGAAATCTTATTCAAAATCCACATGCATTTTGAAAATAGAATTAATTATGTGCTAAGAGCAAATACAGATAAAAATAAGTAAAACTATTAAGCTGTTTGTGTGATTTGACAAACCTCTGCTTCTCAGAGGAAATTGCCTTAGCCACCATGCTAGTTCTGCTTTTCTGTATGTTACAGAATCACAGAATGTTAGGGATTGGAAGGGACCTCAAAGGATCATCTAGTCCAATCCCCCTGCCAGAGCAGGACCGCCTAGATCAGATCACACAAAAACGCATCCAGGCGGGTTTTAAACATCTCCAGAGAAGGAGACTCCACAACCTCTCTGGGCAGCCTGTTCCAGTGTTCTGTTACCCTTACTGGGAAGAAGTTCTTCCTTATGTTTAAGCAGAACCTCCTATCTTCCAGCTTATATCCATTTCCCCTTGTCCTGTCATTGGATGTCACTGAGAAGAGCCTGGCTCCATCCTCATGACAGTCACCCTTTACATATTTATAAACATTAATGAGGTCCCCCTCAGTCTCCTGTTCTCCAAGCTAAAGAGACCCAGCTCCCTCAGCCTTTCCTCATAAGGGAGAAGCTCCACTCCCTTAATCATATTTGTGGCCCTGCGCTGGACTCTCTCAAGCAGTTCCTTGTCCTTCTTGAACTGAGGGGCCCAGAACTGGACACAATATTCCAGATGCGGCCTCACCAGGGCAGAGTAGAGGGGGAGGAGAACCTCTCTCGACCTACTAACCACACCCCTTCTAATACACCCCAGGATGCCATTGGCCTTCTTGGCCACAAGGGCACGTTGCTGGATCATGGTCATCCTGCTGTCCACCAGGACCCCCAGGTCCCTTTCCCCTGTACTATGTTGTTGTATAGAACACTATAGCAGCTGGAATTGAGAGTAAGGGATACCCCATAGCCAAGAAAATAGTTCACAGTCTTCTCCAAACACTCACCTGATATTCCCAACTACTCCTTGGTTACCGTTTCACTTTAAACCCATGGAGGTGTTAACATTTATACTCAGTGATACCTATGCATGTCTTAATCTGTAATCTCATGTGGAAAACTAATATGGCTGATGGTAAGTATCCTAAACTTGAAAGAGCTTCTATGGATCGTATTTGTGCAATATCAATGATGCCACCAGTGCCAAATGTTCAGAAGTCATCTAGGTCTGGAGAATGTCTTTGCATTTCAGTTTTCTAATTTAGTAGGTTTTGTGTCCTTAATATTCACTCAGGTTTTGCTCCCTACAGCCATACAGGCTGTAAATATAACCTTTAAAAAACCAAACAAACAGAATTTCTCTCACCTTTTGACGTTAGGGCTCAGAAGACACCTCCCCACCAAAATATTGTATCTTGAGTTTCATGATAAATCGTGGCTTTACCATATCATATCAAGTAGACCTCATGGGCAGAGGTAGTCCAGAAATTTTTAATCTTAAGAGCAGATTAACTTGATAGAGAAAGAAGAAAGATCATCTTCTACAACAAGAATTTTAGGTAAGAGCTATTTATATTTTTAATAGATTCTGTTGTTTCTGTAAATAATGTCAGCTTGCGGATGAAACACTCCAAAGGTAGAACGCTTTGCTTCTCAGAAATTTAAGATAGAAAATAGAAAGCTACACATAACTCTTTGTATGGCTGTGGGTGATCTACTTTATTCAGTCCATGATGATGATTTGATCATATTTTTCTAAAAAGCAGGTGGATTACTACCAAGCGAATTTGCGTCACTATTTTACTTCAAAGTAAACATATCAAGATCATTTAACTGCAAGTTACCTTGAATCATGAAAATATTTGTGTCTTCGGAGCACAAAGTAAGAGTTACTGTTATAAACTGTCAAGGCGGAAGGAAACTCAACAGCTTGCTCCATACAGGCCAAGAGCGTGTCATGTCCTCACTACACACAAACTGGTATGATGCGAAGGAAACACGTTGTATTGGTCAGTGTTTGTGGCTGTCTTGGAAACAGTGTCTTCCAGCAGAAATACTAATGGTAATGACTGTTCTTCATCAATTTTCTTTAGTTACGAACATGTAAACTGTTCTGCATCAAGAGTGCGCCTTTTCCTGCTGGCCAAAGATTTCCAGTGGAGAGCATAAGGTAAATGCAGGGACCTACTCCTCTTCCCAAAGAAGAATCCTCAGCTACATTTGGATCATTTGGGCAAAGAATCTTCTCCAACTTCAACAGTGAGCCATGTTCAGTCGTGGATGCTATATCTGCGATTTTTTGAATGTATGTTATTTTTTTTTCTGTATATTTGCAAAGTAAAATACTTGAAAGGTCTCAATATAGGTTTTGCTTAATGCCACATCTTTTTATTTGACCTTTACTAATGCAGTCTTGTATCTTTTCAAAATGTGGTCCTTAAGATCATTTTTCTAGACTGTATCCTTGATTATTTACCTCCTTCCTTTATCCAAGAGATGCATGTCTTCATGTTGAAGACCCTTTCATAGCTTTAATCTGTTTCCTTTTTTTCCCCTATCAAATGGTTGATTATGCTTCTGAGCAGCTTCTCTTCCAAATCAAGCATGCGGCTGCTTTTTTTTTTTCCCTTTCACCATTGTGGAGCAGCTCCCTATAAACATCTTCACAACTTCAGTCCTTCTAAATGCTTCTATAAAACTTTGTAAGGTCTTGATGTCTCCAAATCCTAACCAGAAATAGAAGCTCAGATGGTATTCTATCAAATGTTGCCCTGCCTTTTGCCACCCCAATGTTATCCCTTGTCTTAGATTAAAAAATTCTCATGAACAGGAACCAATCTTACATTTTATCTTTGTACAGCACCTTTTTTAATCAGGTTTTGGGCCTCGGTTGGGCAGTTATGCAACGTAGGTGTATCAGAGTTACTATGTGCTTCGAGGCTGTCCGTTCTGCACTCCTAAACCTT